TGACAAAGGTAGTCGAGAGGAGAGGTTTGAGCCAGCCGAATGGGTTTCTTTCAAGTTATGACCGCACCAGCAGCAGCAGGCCATTTCGCATATGGCATTATATATGTTAGGGAGTCATTTTTTATGGGACGTATCAGGTCAATGAAAGAGTACGCAAGGTTGCATACAAGCTTGAATTGCCCGCGACTACACAAATTCACCTGGTTATCCATATGTTTCACAATTGAAAAAGAGCTTGGGTCAGGTCCAGACTCTGCTGCCGACGATGAATTCCGTTGAAGAGTAGAGAGGACTGGGCAATTCCGTTGGGAGGAGTTACCGAAGGAGGAGACGACTTGGGAGAATTTGCAAGATATTTGCAACCAATCCCTGAACTTTATTTTTTAGGACAAGGATATATTTGAATGGACGTGAATAATGCAGACAAGGGTCGACTGCTCAAGAACGATTATAACCGAGCTTGACGTGCTCGTATGAAGGAGGCGTGACAACCAAATTGCAGGCGCGCAGGCGCACGAGGGCGGCGGCCAACCGTGGGGCGCAACCGCAACAACATTTGGCGCACAACGAGGCTCAATTGCAGCAGCAGCAGCCGACACACAATCGAGCACACAACGGGACTTTCCCAGCCCAAAACACAAATGACTACTTTTAAAGCGTGAACACGGCTTATATGTGGTAGGGCTAAGTAGTAATATTGATATTTATTATTGCTTTTGTTAATTCTTTATTCCTCAAGACCTAGTTTCAATTTTCAACGTTTTCTTCTTTATAAATTGTATCAAACGTTTTCGCTCGAGACATAAGAAATACAATACCAAGATTGCTAGTTTTCTAGCTAAAACCCTAACGTATAACCGACGACCGCCAACACGAGTTAGCACAAATCCACTGCTCGATACACAATCTTCATCACTGTAACTTCACTCCAACATATATTTACCTTGCGTTTTTACTTAAATGACTTGAAAATTCTACCATAAACATAAACGAAAACGACGATTTATGCCAAGAAAAGAGATAATTTAATTTTAAACCGACCAAAAAATGCTTCCCCTTCCCATAGTTGTGAGTTGTTGTATCCCTCCCATCATCACAAAGATAGTAATACAACTCTCCTGCACGAGGCGCAATGTACAATTCCAAAAGGAGTTCCATATATCCTCTATGCTGTTAACTCGCTCTCCATTTCCATACACCAAAGGTTAATTTCACTACACAGTAATAAATTATTCCTGCTCTTCCCCACGTGAACTCTGAGAATCTCTGAATCACCCATGGGCCCCACACTCCCAATCAAATTAAGTGAAGCATTTTCCACATAAACTGCTGAGAGACTCGCATAGAGACTAAAAAACAAA